CTACTGATGATGATGATGATGATGATGATGATGATGACGGCACCAATGCCGATTGAGATGCTGATGATGGTGCTGATGATGAGGCTGAGGCTGATGCCGAAGATAAGGGTGATGATGATGATCATGATGGTATGATGACCACGATGATGCTGATGCTGATGCTGATGCTGATGCTGATGCTAATGCTGCTGCTGCTGCTGATGATGATGATGATGATGATGATGATGATGATGATGATGGTGATGGTGATGGTGATGGTGATGGCGATGCTAATGCTGATGCTGATGCTGATGCTGATGGTGATGCTGATGATGACGACGACAACGTCGACGACGATATGGATGGTGATGATGATGACGACGACACCGAAGACGATGATGGTTGTGATGATTATGCTGCTGCTGATGATGATGGTGTCTGTGGAGGTCTGGAGCTCCCCGCTCGATACAGCCACCCGAAGCCAAGGCCTTTCCCTCTGGCGCTGCGGTCGCAAGGCCTCGACCAGTGCCCAGGCGCACTCGCAGACGACCGGCCTGAGAGAACAGAGGGCACCTGGCGCTACTGCTGCCGAGGCCAGCACCAGCCCTGCCATCCTAGCTACGACGGGCGCTCAGCACACGACATGCAAGTCTGCTCCACTGGGCGCGCACTTCGAAGCGCAGAGCTTCCCGAGCCCAGCAGCAGTCAGGCGGCGCCCAATACGTCACCTGCCCAGGGGGCACGGGGATGATCCCGTGGCTTCTCTCCGCCACAGAACGGAGCACGCCAGCGCTGGAGGCCGGCCCTGATGGTCCATGAAGCTTTTGAGGGCGGAGCCACTCTGGACACGTCGCCGTAGCTCCACCCCGACACGGAGAGGGATCCCGAGCGTCAGAAGGGGCCTTCCGACTGGCTCCTTCTCCGCGTTGCACAGCGCACAGGCGGAGACGCTACACTGACGAAGGCCAGGCTGGTCCTGGAGCCGTCGCTGCATTGCAAAAGTTGCCGTGCGACAGCGACGAGCGGGTGAGACACCCGCATGCGAAAAGGCGAGCGCTGATCCCTCCAGAATGCAGGCGCAGCCGCCACCTGAGCTCAGCAGCAAGCCAGATAGCATGATACGTTACCTGCCCAGGTAGCGCGGAGACGATCGCGCGCGTCGTGAGGGCCACGCTACTGGTTCACCTCCGCCCTGATGGAGAAAGATAAAGAGCGCTGATGACCGCGGTTCGAGCCAGGATGGAGCCTTCAGGCGTTGGAACCGGATCTCAAATCGGATCTCCACTTGGCGCGGAGAGTGATCCCAAACGTCAGGAGCGTGCCCCCTACACTTCTGGTTCCGCCTCTGACCTTCAAGCGGGCAGAGCTGCATGGGAATGGCCGCACAATGGGCAGCCAGCTGCATTGCAAAGGAGCGGCCGCATCACTTTCGGCCGCGAGGACACGCACTGAGACAGATGAGGGCTGATCTCTTTGCACGCATGCGGCCCTGGTGGCCAATGACGTAAGACTAGCGCTGTAGTGCGGCACGCCTCCTCATTCTCCTCAGTGCTTATGGCCCTCGCTCCTGCTGGCTGCAAGCCGCGCATCAGCCTTCCAAGCATTTCTTTCTGACGGCCGTTGGGCGGTGCCTTGACGCATTCATTCGCCAAGCCCACCATCCTCACGCTCTTCGTCCACGAGGCGCATGTGCCGCCTTTAGAAAAGGTGTTTGCCTGCCCTCCAGAGCTCGTGCGACTCACGCGTCTCGATCGCTCAACATGGGGGCAACTCAGGTGGAAGTGGCTGCGGTCCCCCACCTCCGACATTGCTCCGCAACTGGATGGCGCTGGTGCCGCCGCTGCTGGTGCGGATGGTGCAGGTCAGACTGTTGCTTGCTGGTGCTTACCCTGCCTCCAGCGACTGCCACGTCTGCCTGCGAGCCGTCCACGTTCTCGATCTGCTCGCCTGTCGTCTGACTGGAAGGAGGAGCAGCTCCCCGCCGTGAGCAGAGCCGCAGCCTCCGACACCGCTCCGCTGCTCCTTCCTCTACATGAGGCGAGAGAGAGCCCGTCAACACAACACCTCGGCCAGCGCAGTGCAGGCACGCCCAGGCTGTCGCGTCTGGGCTGGCACCAAGCCATGTGACGTGCCTTCCGCACGCCCTCCGCCCGCAGTCGGGAGGGCTGCACGGGCTCCTGCAGCTCAGCTTGCAGTTGTTCCACTCGCGCCTCGCTATGTCGAGCCCAGGTGCGCCGCATCCCCTCTCCGCCGTGGGCACCTCGTCGCCCTCCCGCAAGGCGGCGCCGATCCAGCGGAAACTCTTGCCCACCATGCCACATGCCACCTTCACGGGCGTTGCGCTCCCTCGGCTCCCCGTCGGCAAGGTGCACCTTGCAGCCCGTCCTCGCCTTCATGTGGTTGCCCCGACGTTGCCAGTCAGTGATGCGGTTCGCCTGCACGTCTGCCAGCGTCGCCTGGACCTTGATCTTGATGAACGACACGTTCTCCATGCCGACGTCCTCGATGGCCGCCCACACCTTCATCCTCAGCTCACGGTAAGGACGCTGCCAGGACAAGCATCAAGCTTCACCAGCCTCCGCACCGTCCACCAGAACTTGGCAATCTGAGAGCACACCAACAGGTGGGAGGCATGATCGGATAGCCCCCGTCGTTGCGTACAGCCCAGCTGCTCCCGATTCCTGCGGGCACGGCAAAGGCAGGGGCCCGTAGACGCTGACCGCCTCCGAGTCCACGCCCATCACAGATGCCGCCCGTTCTCCGTCCGCCGAGGTCAAGCTAGGGTCCTCCATGCCGCCCGTGAGGAGGTCGCCCGAAAGAGGCTGCCCCACAAGGTCGTCGCGCCCCGCCGTGCTCAAAACCATCTCCTCGGTGGGTGGTGACAGTTTCCGACGACGTTCTGGTGCCAGCCCATTCGGCCACATCGTGTCCTCCGCATAGTCCGTGCTGGCCATGGCCACGATGGTCCCGACTGGGACGTCATCAAGCCGCCGCCTCTTCGTCGCCATCGTCGTACGACTCCCGCTTGGTCCTAATGGTCTCCGTCGCAGGGCATTGCCATACCAGATGCCGAATGGTGCCGTGTGCATCACACCCCCTCGAGCTCCATGGTGCATGTGACAGTGGTCTCTCGAGCGCAGCCTTGCGCGCCACTTGCCACACACACACACACTTGTTGCGTCGGTGGCTAGGCATAGTGACTGCGCTGACGGATGTGGCAAATGTAGGCCATACACATCCTACAGTGCCGCAATGCACGAGGCATTTGCCACACACACACGCACACACACAACTCATCATGGCGTCCTTTGCGGAGCTGGCCGCATTGTCCATCAGCTGGTTGCGCCTCTTCTTGTGTAGAATTGGCCTCACGCCAGCGAGAGCTCTGCCTCCAGCCAGATGCGCAAGTTCAGTGTGCTTGCCAACCACACGCCACAGCAGTCTCTCGTGCCCCGCCGCGATGAGCTTCACCACGGTCGAGCCCCTAGTCTCCTTGAGGTCGACCATCTTGCCTTCGTCGTTGTGGATGAGGCCAGGCCTTGATGCCGCCTACCCTAGGCGGTTGCACGTGAGGGCGCATGCCACAGCAGGGCCCCTGCTTCTCCGCCAGCATGGCTGCGGCCCCTGAACCCTCTGCCAAAGCCCTCACGTCAAGCCCTTCGCGTCGTTGTTGAACTGCACCGCCTTCGCCCACGCGATGACAGGCAGCGTCGCGTGGTCCTTGAGTGGTTCGCTATCCAGAGTCTTGCCAAAACGGAGGCTGAGACTGAGGCTCTTCTCATGCACCCTGCCGTGATGCACTGCGTTGATTTGCCTCCTCCACTTCTCGTTGCTGCCGGTGTGCTCTGTTGCTGCCGGTGTGCTCTGTTGCTTGATGGCATGTAGCCGCTGTCGCTGAGCCTCGGCCTTGCTGCGCCTGCCTTGTAGCACCGCGAGCGCCTGGCCCAGCCCCTTCCCAGCTTCTTGACGGAAGCCGCCACAGGGAAGGCCATGCCCCCTATCTGCTTGGCCACCAATTTCTCAACCTCCGTGGAGCTCGCCAGGATCTCGCTCCTCTCCTCGGAGACCTTGCGCCCCGGCGCAGGCATCTGCGCGATCGCTGTTTTGGTGGCCTTCGCCAGGTAGGTCGCCGCCTGGGCCATGTGCCCCTGGTGCCCGACGCAGCAGTCGTCGAACATGATCACCAGCGTAACCCTGAACGCCAAAGCCTAACATGTTCGTCAGCAAGAATCAGAAGCCCGCATTTGAGCAGCCCTCCCGCATGCGAGCATCCCGCGACGAGCCCAGCATCGAGCATGTACGCGCCGGAGACGTTCCTTAGCATGAACCTCCTCAGCATGAACCTCCTCTTACCCTCGTGCAGCGTCAGGGCCTTGTGCAACAAACCCCTCGGGTAGTTGCCCAGGCTGTCCCTCTCTCGAGTAATGGCCAGATCCACGAGCTCGTACGCCTTCCACAGGTCGACCAGCGCTGCTGCTGCGTGCTCGTTGAGTTCGCGGGACGATTCAGCACGCAGCGCTTGCCACTATACGGCTTCCTCGGCCGCCCGACCTTTCCCGCCCAAGAACGCCCCAGCCAAGCCCAGGTCGATCTCGGAATCCCACGGCCTGGCGTCTGGCTTCTTGACTTTGCTCCAACGGCGCGGTAGCCAGCACAGGAGACCAGTGGGTCTGAAGCCGCCCTGAGGAGTGGGGAGCATGACTGTCGTGATTACCGTCGACGATGTTGTGCTGTGCTGCGCTCGTCCGTCGAGCATGATGGCGCCAGCCCGTGCTGGCGAGCGTGTCTGCCGCGCTCTCTGCGCAAAAGAGGGGGCCCCCTCCTCGATCCCCTACAGCCGCGGAGGCGGCGGCAAGAGAGAGAGAGGAAGGAGAGGTTGACTCAAAACTTCGCTCGAGTCGCCTCGGCTCGACATGAGCCTAAAATCCTTCTCAACCGTTCCGACCGAACTGGATCAAAAGAGGGGCCCTGCACAGTATAAATATGGAAAAGGAATGATGAGAATGAGCCCGACACTACCCTCAAGATAGGTCGAGAAAAGCTAAAGCGTCGGCGGCCTCGGCTTCAGCGTCCGTAGGCGGCTGCGGCTTGTCCTGAGCGAGTTTGTTAGCTCGCTGTCGTTTCCTGGCTGACATGAAATCCTCGTCGCACCTGATGATCCAGGTGCGCCGTGCAAGCCACAGAGCCAGAGGCCCCCTTGCCTCGGGACTGTCCTTCGCGAGGCCGTCGGTGAGGTTGAGGTCCGAGGGTGCCCAGACCAGGTGCTGGTTCTTCTCGGGCCCGCAGTTCGCCTTCACATGCAAAACCTCCACGCCGGTCCTCGCGTCGCTCAGGCCTATGCCGAAGCTCTCCTTGTTGTGAACTGAGTCATAAACTCCCCGACTGTCGATCACCAGCACAGAAGTCATGGATTGCGCCACTTCCTCCTGAGTGTGCGCGGTAACTGGAACTCCGTGCATGACTGACCACAGCATGCGCATCAGGTACGCGGCGTTCTCTCCGTCGTGCAGGGCCTGGCCCTCGCAGCCGCTGGTGCCGATGCCGGTGCGCTTGAGCTTGTACGATCTCCAGTCGGCGATAGATACTGCACATTCCTTATGCTTGAGAATCTCGGCCGTGGTGAAGGCCACGATGTAGCCTCCTCGTTGGAGTAGCCTGCTTGCGTCGACCCACGTCACAATCACTAGGTCGTCCCACTTCAGCTTGCCGCCGCAGTTGCTATTGAAGTTGTGGAACACCAATGAGTCACGAGCGGTCCGCTTCACATCGCGTATGAGGGCGTTCGTGTCCTTCAGGTCCCCGACCGTCGCCTCGTTCACCCGCTGAGCCAACAGTGACACCCGACATGAGAACTGTGGTGCTGTCTGTGTCGCTCTCCACTGGCATTTCATCAGGCCCGCCCTGAACTGGGTGACGTCCTCCGGTTTGAGCTTGTCATCCTTCGAGAGATACTTGCCGGACTCAACCCTGATCTCGAGGAGCTGGTGACAGAACTCCTCCTGGCTGGCGTGGATCTTGCCCGACGGCTCCTGGGTGATCCACATGCCTGCCCACATGCACGGCGTGCTTCGCCATGGAGACCACCGCAGCATCTCCTTCAGCATGTTCTTCATGTCGAGGTAGAACTTGTTGTCGCTGTCGCCCGCGATGCCAAAGTCGTCCACGTGCGAGCCGATGACCCCGCACACGGTGCCGTCCTGGTCCTGAATGATCCAGATGCACGGCTCGATGAGGACGCTCTTGCCTCCTGCTTCGTGGATCTTGTGGTCCACATACTTCCAGAAAACCCACGGCGCATTCGTGATCCCGTAGATCGCTGCCAGGACTCGCATGGACTCCTCCTCGTTGATCTGCAAGGCCTGCCGAAGCTCCTTCACGCCCTTCGTGTAGAGCTTCCTCCACTCCTCAGTGTGCCCGGCCTGCAGGAAGGCGGACTTCGCGTCGGCTAGCTCGAAGGTCCAGCCGTGGAAAGCAGCCATCTGGAGGAGTGCCAGCTTCCCTTTTCTTGAAATGGTTGGTGACGCCGCAGGAAGCACCCGATCTCCGAACTTGTCGCGACTGACAAGGTCCGGATGCGAGAAGCCCAACATAATGATACGGGCCTTCGCTTTGAACTTCCCGTCCGGCGTGCTCACGGGGTGTGGGTCCGACTTGTCCGGTGGTTCAGGTGGCGTCAGAGGCTTCCAGGTCAGTAGCCACCTCATCTTGATCAGCTTGTCCGCTGGAATATCTTTTCCATGATTGTAGTCAGCGTAAGCAGATGCAGCCCGGACTGTCGGTACTTCCAGATGTTCCGCCAGCTCCCGTGCCATTGCCTCTTGGAACAGTGGCTTCTCCTCGGGGCTCAGGCGGCCAAACGAAACCTCCACGCCCTTCTTGACCGTGTTGTTGGCCACGCGGTTCAGCTGCTTCTCCAGGTACGCGCTCGCATCGAAGCAGAACTCCTCAAGGTCCGCCTCGATCTCGATCTTCATCAGGTCCATCTCGGCCTCGTTATTCGGATCCTGCACGAAGTTGATAATGTCGATCTCGCTGGCTTCCACGTGGTCGCTCGCCGCCTTGAAGAGGGCAGCGTGAGCAACTTCAGCTGAGGCTCTTGATGAAGATGATCTCCCAAAACGCGGTTGGAAAGCTTTCAGTCGGTACAGGTGGCCACGACACAGTCGGCGTCTGTGGTGGCTCTGGTGCTGAGTTGTCCTCGTCTACCTCCTGGTCGTCATCTGCCTCCGTGACGTCGTGGGGTTCCACGGCCACATCGGGATTCTCGATCACCCTCGGCATGCCTTCGAGAGGTTGACGTGGTAGCATCCTCATGCCATCTGCCGTTGGGTAGGGCTCCCCGGCTATGTCGTCAAAGTCCTGGAGGTGCCTCCAGACGTCCTCGAGCGGACTGTTGAGGATGTCGTCCTTCTTCAGGTTGATCTGGACGATCTCCGACTGCGTGGCTGGCCGCAGTTGCTCAGCTGCGCAGCGCCAGCATCGGTTGCCCATGATGACCCAGATCACGCCGTCCTTGTTGCCGGTCTGGACCGCCGGCTCGGAGAACAAGACCCGGCCCGGTCCGATGAACAAGCCGTCCGTGAAGAAGTCCTGTCCGGAAAGCTTTCGCTTCCCTGTCGCAGCGTACGACCGCCAGACACAGACCCAGTCGCCTCGTTTATATTCATGTCGAGGTCGTGGGGCTGAGTTCTTCAGCTCTGAGATCTTCCTGGACGCCTTCTCCTTCAGGTAGGTCGCCTCTGCATCCGCTCGCACCCGCTCGATCTCGAAGAAGTCGGACTTCAACTTGCCAGTAGCTGCGTTATGCGCCAAGATAGGGTCCTCGGTCGGAGAGAACCCGAAAGCCCACTGCATCGGCGTGTAGCCCTTGATGTTGTCCATGTTGTTGGCCGCCGCAATCGAGATGTAAAACACGGTCTCGGGACTCAGCTTGGGGTATTGTAGGCGAAGCTTCCTCATTACCTGCTTGACGGTCGAGATGCGGCGCTCGATGTCGCCAGCCATCCAATGTGCTCCTCCTGGTTTCGCTGAGACGCCGATGCCGGCCAACTGGCAGTTGTCTTTAAACTCGCCGCCCTCAAAAGAGGTCTGGGGATCGACGAAAACCCACCTTGGCTTGGGATAGTGTTGAAGGTAGGCTCTGGCAAACGTCGTGAACAGCGTAGCTGACGAATCTGTGCCCTTGTCCTTGAGGCCGATCTTCGCAGTGATGTCCCCGCACATCAGGCCGGTGGCGACTTCTGCGATGAGGAGAAACCTGGCCTTCACATTCAAGTCCGGGAACGTCAGGTCGGAAACGTCCATGACGGCTGCCTGCCAAGGTGCCATGGGGATGTCGAGGCTCGCCTTGACCTTGTGGGTAAGGCCGTGCTTGACCAGGTCGCATGCCTCGCAGCGAAGGTTGATCGCTTCGTCGATGATCCAGCGTGGACACTGCCGCTTCTTGCACCAGTAAGCCAAGTGCTCGTTCCCTGGGTGCCCTGCAGCCTTGTGGATCCTGCTCAACATCGCACGCACCTGTTCCCTTTCGAGATCCGTGGGCTCAGCGACGTAGATGCTCCCGGTGTCCCGCTCCATCAGGTAGGCATTCTCGAGGTCGAGGACAGCAGGGTTCTCCAGGGCCATGTTGAGGTCGATCGGGGTCCGGAGTTGAGCATGCCACAGCCGGGCGATTGCCTTGCACATCGCCTGCGGGTAGTAGGCTGTGGCTGCAGTGTGCAGCTTCCCGCTGATGACTCGGTGGCCGTGTGAGTGGTCACACACGGTCGCGACCTTGGAGAACTCCGGGTCGGTGGTCATGATCCTCCAGCCCTTCTCGACGAGCTCGTTAGTGTTGTAGTCCCTGAGGCCGTACATGCACCCGTCGATCCGATCTTCGAAGACGTGTCGTCCCCGACGCCTCAATTCCATACGAAGAAAATTGAGCTCGGGAATCTTCCAGCCTTGACACCTGTGAGGCCACTCGAAGTAGACCTCGCCTCCGTTGTCAACAATCTTTAGCAACAGGAGAACTCCATACTTCACACGTCGTCGGTCTCGAAGTCGGTCTTTCTCTAGGCGTGCACGTGCCTATGGGGTCTTGTAGTTGAAGTTCGTAAGCGAAGTCCATAGCGTGCATGGTAGCGATATCCAAACCCGCTTCGGCATCACTTCGTCCAGCTTCTTGCTAGCGGCCTCGAAGCCCGCCTTCGTGCTGAGGTTGTACCCGTTCTCGATGCTGATCCGCTCCATGCTGAGGCCGATGTTGGTGCACTCGTCGGTCAGCATGCTGTTGGGATGGCAGCAGATCTCCACCGCCTCGGTGATCGTACCCACGGTCATGGCCAAGGCCAGTCCTGCGAGTAGTGACCTCCGGCGTCCGGCCGCCAGAAGCTGCCTCGGCACCCGGCTCAGACTGGCCCGGGTACTGGTTCCGCCATCTGGGCCTTGCGCCTGGGGTTCGCTGCCCCCAACATCTCCAGCAGCGCGTCCGGCGCGTGGCGGATCTCGGTCCCGGGAAGCCTCCGGAGAGAGGTGGCGATGTTGATCATCGCGGTCACCTGCTCGTGATTGGCCGTCTCCCACAGGTTGCAGTGCCGCACCAACTCCAGGCCGGACTCCACCAATTTCGGATGCTGCATGCTGAGGTTCGTCATCGGCGCCTTCGCCGTCGGGACGTAGAGCAACCTCAGCCCGCACCGATAGCATGTCCTGGTCTGGCCCCACTGGTTGTTGACCGTGAAGTACTTGCGATGCGTCTTGCCGCACGGTCCCCGGGTGGTCCTCGGGTCGCGGGGGTCCACCTGCAGTGCGAACGCCGGGTCCAGCTCCATCTGCTTCTCCTTCTTGCGACCCTGGTGCGTGTTGCCCGGATCTTTCTCCTTGACCTTGCCCTCCGAGGTGACATACTCCATCGTCTGACCGTTGAAGACGAACTCCCGCTTGACCTGGGTCGTAGGTCCGGAGCTCGCTGCCGCCGAAGGTGACTTTACCTCCGTGCCCTCCTCCTTCTTGTCGGCATCTATGTCGACAGGTACCCATTCGTCCTTGCCCTCCATGGAAACGCGCTGGCTGAAGCGCCGGCTTGCGGATTGCCGAAAATCGCTCTGAGCGAGTTCCAGAGCCAAAAGACGGCGGAGGAGGGGATGACCATGATGGAGCTGCTCTTCCTGTTATGGTTGATGGAGGTGATGTTGCTGTTATCACTGACGGTGTTGTCGTAAGAGCCGTATATACTGATGATGGTGTCGTTCTCATCTGAGATGATGTTGATAATGTCGTTCTTGTTTGAGATGATGCTGATAAAGTCGTTCTTGTCCGAGATGATGCTGATGGTGTCGTTCTTGTCTGAGATGGTGCTAATGGTGGTGATGTTGTCTTTGTCATCGACCATCTCTGAAACGCCCTTGCAAGACCCTCGGTGTTTTCCCCGGTCGGGTTAAAAATCTCGGAAACGTGCTTCACCAGATCGAGGATGCAATGGCCCTTGACTGGAGTCTTGCGAAGCTGCACCAGTTGACCCCTGATCACAGCCTCCCCGGTTCGGAAATTCACGATTGCCGGCCACGACTCCAGAGCAGTCATTCCCAACAAAACGAGAGGCACGCCGGGACTGAGAGCGAAGATGCCCAGAACGAAGCCCGGCTCGAACTCGACCGAAACCTTATACAGTGCCTTGCCCCACTTATTGTCTCCAAAACGAAACCACGGTCTTTCATTTTTGTTGATCTCGATCCTGGCCTGGGGGTTCGCAGCCGCAACGGCGGCAACCAGGGCCTGGACTGCGCGCTCGCCTCCGGCGGACGCGGAAGCCCCGCAATCAACCATGGCCTCAGAGGGGGCGAGGCCGCTGTCGTTCTGCTCCGCCTGGTACAGACCCTGGAGCTCGTCAAACCCGTGCGCGATCGTGAGAAACTCCAGGTAGTTCGCATTCTTGCCCTTCTGGTCGTGGTCCCTGTCGCGGTACTTGCTGCCCTTGCCGCTCTTGCCGCCCTTGCTGCCCTTCGGGCCTCGACCCGTGAACGGCGGTCTCGAGGGCTGCTGGTGCGGCCACGACGGAGGAAGGCGGCTCTTCCCTCCTGGACCCGATGATGGCTTGCCAAATCCTCGATCTTTGTGAGCGGCGGCCACTGCTTGTCTGGCTTGAACTAGAGTGCGTGACGCCTCTGCCGCCATCGCCTGGGCCGCCTCGAGCTCCTCATTGAGGTGGTTGAGATCCTCATCCATGGCCTCGGACCCTTCTGGCTCTGAGGCTAGCTGCGGCTCCTCCTCGACATCGTAGTCGTCCTCGTCCTCGTGGTGGTCGTACCCGTCGTTCTCCCACGCCTGGACTGCCGCTGCGTAGCCATCGTACCAGTCAGGTCCGTGTACGTCATCAAACTCCGCAATGAGGGCCGACTGCTGGCCCGACTCCGGGCCGTACCGAGGCATAGCCCTCGGTCCGAAGTCCCGCTGCACCAGCGCCTTGTCCTCCCATCTCTCCTTCAAAGCCTTGGAGACTGCATCGAAATCCAAGCGGTTCTGCGTGACCACGCGGACGTCCTGCTTCTCTTTCTCGGTGAAATCCATCGCCTCGAGCAGGAAGAAACCGCGGAGGACCTTCAGGACTCCAGAAGCGTGGCCGAAGAACGTAGAGCCCACTGCCATCGCTTCCGAAACCTTGAGCTTGCTCGCCATGGATTCTTGTCGGTGAAATCGATCCGTTCGAGAGCCCTGCGAGCGAGACGTAATCGAGTGTCGTTCATACTCATCTGCTTCTTCTGCTTCCTCGGCAGGGGCGTCATCTCCTGCCAAGGTCGTCGGCGCGTCGGGGTTGGGTTCCCAGTTGTCCCAACACCTCTGGCAGTACCATTGTCCTCGTCCAGCTGCTCCTCGGTCTCTCTCGAAGTAGCCGTAGCACTCCTGGCACTGCTTGTACTTGTCATTGTCGCCCATCTCCTCCAAGAGGCGCTCCAGCGCCTGGACCATCTCCGAGTAGCAGTCCTGCTCCCAGATCAGGAGCGCGCCCACTGTCTCGCCTTTGCGCCGCTTGAAGTCCTTGTAGTAGTGCTTGATCTTGTGGGCCGCGTCCGGGATAGGTAGCTTTCCCAGTGGACTGTTCCTCAGGTCGTCCAGAAGGAGGAGGTGGCCGTTCGGATTCTCATATCTGTCTGGATCCAGGGTGGTCGCAAACGTCCGTATAGCTATCGTTTTGCTCTGCAGCATGCGCCCGATGATCCTGTTCGCCGCAAGGTCCCTATCCTGCCGCTTCAGCGTGCGAGGGAACCACTTCACTGCCGTCTCGAAGTGTCGCCAACGTCCTGGGTTGCCGTCCCATTCTGGGATGGCATCCTTTGCTTTCTTGTCGTCCCGCTCCATGGTGTTCTGGTCCCTTGGGGAGTGCCAGAACTTGTCCGTGGATCTAGCTCCGCAATACCAATGTCGTGATTACCGTCGACGATGTTGTGCTGTGCTGCGCTCGTCCGTCGAGCATGATGGCGCCAGCCCGTGCTGGCGAGCGTGTCTGCCGCGCTCTCTGCACAAAAGAGGGGGCCCCCTCCTCGATCCCATACAGCCGCGGAGGCGGCGGCAAGAGAGAGAGAGGAAGGAGAGGTTGACTCAAAACTTCGCTCGAGTCGCCTCGGCTCGACAATGACTATCAGCGAGTCCGTGTCGTTCAGCATGGGCTTCTTGGCGGTGTAGCTGGCCTTCGGCCCCTCGGTGAACCTGGCCTTCACCGCACTGCCAAAGGAGAGGATTGGCTCCGAGCCCCTCCCCTTGTAGAAGTGCCCATCCTCTTTTTCGATCTGGCACGGCCACACCAGCTCGTTTCCAGCCGAGCTGCACATGTATTGGTGCGCGGCGGACAGGGCGCTCAGGTACCTGCACGCTTCTACCGTGGACCCGACATCGCTGTAGCCCCGGTGCTGCTCAGGAAGGGGGCCTGCCGGCTTGATCTTGTGAATGGCGTTCGGTCCTTTCAGTCAGTGCGCCTCCCCCACGTCGCCGTACCCCCGCGTCGGGAGCTTGATCCCCAAGTGCGGCCTGCACAGTCGCCCTTGTCCGTGCGTCCGCCAGCTGAACGTCCACAACGAGTCGGTCCGGCTCGGAGGGCGGCCTCCCCTGGGAGAACTGGCAGGTGCCCTCCCGTGAGTCCACAACGCAGCCCTTGACTTGATGCGGCCACCTGGAGGCGCGCTCGTGGAACCGATCGTGCTCCACGTTTCAGCCCCCCATGATCCACAGCTTTCCCGACTTGACGAGCGCCGTGCCGACCTCTTGCAGGATGCTCTTCTTGTTCTCGCCGTCGTCGTCGTTGTCGTCGTTGTCCAGGTAGCCCAGCAAGAAGCCGCCGTGCACGAGCCCATTCACGTTGGTTCGGGTCGTTCTGCCCGCGCTGATGTTTGCAGCTGACCTTATTGCCGCCCTCTCCAGGCCCGCGCATGCCACGTGCTGAGCGTACTGCCGCTCCTGTGCCTTCGCTGGATGCTCCGAATGCGCCCCTGCTGCTGACGCAGCTGGCGACAGTACCAAGCTCCACCGACCTGCCTCAGCCATAGTTCCTGCTCGATGGCGCGGTACTCGTTGAGGTGGTGCTCCTGCATGCACGGTGCGTCGCTCATTTGCATCTCCGCCATTGCCGCCAGTTGCGTGTCTTCAGATTGGCGGCCCATCAGCATAGAGAACGGCCCCCATGCGCTCCCATTGACTCACGATGCTGAACTCGCTGCTACCCGCCAGACCCTTTGCCGCGCCTGCTTATCGGGAGCGTGCCACCCTCTTGCAGTAGTTTGAGTTGGCGAGCGTTGCGAAGCAGTCACCGCTGGGTGCACTGAGCCTGGAGGTGTGCTGCCTTCACCTTCGCCAAGTGCTGCCTGTCCCGCCGCCTGCTTGCCCTCGGAGGCCATGATCTTGTCCACCAGCTCACCAATTTCTGCTTCTTCGAGTTCGAGTTCCGCTTCGGATCCGCTATGTCCTCCTCGTCGTGCTGTGCCGTGCTTTCCCTCCCGCAGCAAGAATACCTTGCGAAAGCCACCGCAGGTTGCGCAATTGCTGTTCCCACTGTTCAGAAGCTGGGCGAAGGCTGGCAAACCCGTGGCTGCAAAAACAGAGCCCCTGGAAATTGTTTTTGTTCCCTTCTGGGAAGCAGCCCGTTTATTCTTCAGTCCGCTGAGCTTGATTTGAGGAATTTGTTTTTTCCTTCCGGGAGACCGTTTTAGCAGCCACGGATTTGCAAGCCCTCGCCCAGCATCCAAATTGTGCTGCGAAATCTGATGCCAGCAGCTAGATGCCTCGCCCAACGCTCTGAGGAACGCGGCCGCCCGCTGTGCCTCTGAGCGCGGCCCGGCGTGGTGGCCATCACCCACTCCAATGCTGCTTGATGCCGCTCCTGCTGTCGAATCTCCGCCGCCAGCGCTGCCGACTCGTTGCCCCGCCTCCCGTGTCATCGCGCCAACATCGCAGAGCGGATTTCGTTCGGAAAACGATAGGATGGGCCCGGAGTGTCTTGGAGAATTTCGTTTTGGATTTCGAGGTGAATTTCGTGCGGATTTTTTTGGCCAGGAATGAAGACTAACAAACAACCCATGCGAAATCCACTTCGTTTTTCCCTCGCCGTTTCGGGGTCTTGCATTGACAGAACTCCACGCGAAATCCGCTGCAGCACGTCTGCAAGGTTGGTGCAGTGACCCGTGTCTGCGCCAGCTTACCGAGCAAGCCGGTGATGCGGCATTCGATATCCTTCTCTGTCACAGTGTTCAGCGTGCGCTTCCGCCCAGCTCGAGTTTCTTGTCCTGCAGGTTGAGCATATCATTCTCGGCCGTGCCGATCTGGTTCGCCGACGCCTCCGTCGTGCTGCTCTGCGAGCGCAACTCCCTCTCGAGCTCCCCGAGCTGCACCGACGTGAGCTTCTCGACCGCGATCTCCGCCGACAGATGCCTTTCGTTGCGACGTTTGGCGTCCAGGACTGCGTCCGCCCCTTCCACGCTCTCGAGCCGTTTGACCTCTTTGCGTATTTTGTCAAGACGTCGGACTCGTTCATTTCTGCCTTGTCCTTCCAGAGATACTTCCTGCGGCCCCCGTGCACCAAGAAAAGGATGTGACTCGAGCTTGTTGACTGTCCTTCGCAGCTGCTTGAGCTCGTGTCGTTTCACCACCTGGAGATGCGATGTTGCACACCACCACGAGCTCCCTGACGTTTGCTCCCACACTTCGTATCCACACTCGCGGCACACGTGTCTGGAGCCCTAGTTCCTCTTGGCTCCGCACTGCGGGCGGTCCCAGCCCTTGATTTGCAGTCCGCCAGCTTGTCCGACACCTCCTCCGTTGTTGCCGCCGTTGCCGCCGCCCCTTCCCTTGCCGCATCCGCCTCGCCCCTTCGGTCGAGCCTACGCGCTGCACTAGGCTCCCGAGCGGGCGTTCGGTGCCAAGAGAGGGTGGCCGAGTCATGGAAGTGGATGTGAAAGTGTGGCCTCGCAGGCCTCGCTCATAACTGAAAGTTCTTGGGACATGGCCCAAGAAGTGACGCGACGGCTAGCCCGGCGGACTAGACACCTGCCCTGAATCGCGGCATATTGAACCATTTTTGCTACGGAGTGACGATGGAGATGTTGTTGTTGGTGGTGTTGATGATGATGGCGACTCGGATGATGATGTTGCTGATGATGTTTTTGATGATGATGACGATGAGGGCGATGGCCACTGTGATGGTGGTGGTGGTGATGGTGATGATGGTAGTGATGATGGTGGTGATGTGTTGCTTCTGCGCCCCTAAAGGGCGTCGTCGGCGCTGTCGCCCTCCCGATCCCGGTCGTCGTCGACGGCGTCGGTGTTCTCGTCTTCGTTGGCGTCGACGACCTGGCCGTTCCCGTCGTCGTCGGCTTCGTCCTCGTCGGCGTCGTCATCAGCGTCGGCTTGATCGTCGCCCTCGCTTCTTCTCCTCGAAGGGGCCCACGAGCAGTAGCGTCAGCGTCTGCGGCGGCGTTCGCGTCTTGACGACTCCAGGGGGCAGCTCGGGGGCCATCAAGCTGGTGCCGCGGCGGCCCAGGGTGTAGCTTCAGCTGCTGAGGAGAGGCCCTCACGAGCGGCGCCGCGGATACGGACTTAAATTACGCCAGCGAGACACGGGGCCCCAAAGTTAGTGCGCACTTACTTGAGATGCTTGTTTGGCGGGCCTGCTGTGGGCCCACCTCGCCCTGAGATGCCCGACTCCAGTTTGCCTCAAGTTCGACTCAAGTTCGACTCCAGTCGACGAATGTGCATGAGTGGAGCGAGTGGCTCCAGGCAGGTCCTCGGAACGAGCAGCTACACCTACCTATCGGAGGCCAGTCCAGGCGCGAAGTGAGGGTGAGCGAGACTGCTCAGAAGGCTCGGAGCTCCCCGTGCCTTCTGAGAAGTTTTCTACGCCTTCCCCGAAGGCACGGATCACTTCTCTCAGAAGGCCAGAGGGCTTCTGAGAAGCCCAGCCGCCTTCTGGGAGGGCTGTCTTCTGACTTCCCCCTGCGCTCGCCGCCCGACCTGTGCATTGCAGGAGGATGGTTAAGAAGCTACTGCGGGGTCGTGTTCACGCGGCGGCGCCCGATAAAGACTGGCCCCAGGCCGGAACATTGTTTGTTTAATCGTTCCCCCCGCGGCCCACGAGCGCGCGCCCGGACAGCCGACGGGCCAGACGGAGCCGAAGCAAAGCGGAAGCCGAAGATTTGGAAACTAAGTTGGCAACTCGTCCCCCCACCTTCTTTTACGAGTCGCCACCCTGCACCTCGTACTCCTCGGCGTTGTCCTCTTCGTCGTCGTCGTCCCCGCCCCCCCTGGGGCCTCCCAAGCGAGGGCGGCGCGCGCGCCGGGGGGGCCGCGGGCGGGGCAGGTTCGAGCTGGGCGCGCCTGGCGAGAGGCGCGTGCGCGGCCCCCCCCCCCGCCGCCGCCGCCGCGCGCCGCGCTGTCGAGCGGGCGAGGGTGAGGAGAGGAGGAGGAGGAGGAGGAGGAGGAGGAGGAGGAGGAGGAGGAGGAGGAGGAGGAGAAGGAAGAGGAGGGGGAGGAGGAGGAGGAGGAGGAGGAGGAGGAGATGGAGAAGGAGGAGGAGGAGGAGAAGGGAGGAGGAGGATGAGGAGGATGAGGAGGATGAGGAGGATGATGATGATGAGGAGGAGGAGGAGGAGGAGAGGAGGAGGGGGGGGGGAGGGGGAGGGGGGAGGGGGAGGAGGGGAGGAGGAGGAGGAGGGGGAGGAAGAGGAGGAGGAGGAGGAGGAGGAGGAGGAGGAGGAGGAGGAGGAGGAGGAGGAGAGGAGGAGGAGGAGGAGGAGGAGGAGGAGGAGGAGGGAGGAGGAGGGAGGGGGGGGAGGTCGAGACTTGATAGAAAGGGTGAGCGGCGTCCCAGGAGGTGCCCCCGCAGCCCTGCCTCTTCGGGCAGCCTCGGTCAACCATCAACCGCTGTTCGGTGGCCAGCCCCCCGCTCGAGGAGCCTCGTCATGCGCGCAGGGCGAGCGGCTTCCCCGGAGGTGCCCCCGCATCCCTGCCTCTTCGGGCAGCCTCGGTCCACCCTCAGCCGCTTTCGGTGGCCAGCCCCGCTCGAGGAGCCTCCACATGTGCGTCCAGGGCCCTCGCATTCTTGCCGCGCATCCTTACTGCCACTTTTTGACTCTACGCAATTCGGCGCGTGGGCAGTTCAAGCCGTGCCTTGCCAGGGCAAGAAGGTAACTGTGCAGCGCGGCCGTCGAGCGCACTCTCTGCTGCAACCTGGCGCAACGTTCTTTCGATATTGTGCCACGCTCGCCGTGTCGTCGATGTCCCTTTTCTCGAGGCTGTTGTTTCGGGGAAGCGTAAGATGCGAGTTTGCCGGAGCTCGGGTTGGCCAGCGCTTTTAGACGAGCCCGTTCTGGATTTTGGCGGTCCTGTTCCGTGAGGTGTTTGCCATGGGAACTCGCGCCAAATTTCAGACTATGTGAGATTCGTGTCCCGAGGTGCCATATTTCGTTGTGGGCTCTAGTCGAGCTGTCGGGACGCTGAGCTTGAGGTTTGGTGAGAAGAGTAAAATGGTTTGATCGCATGTGGTTCAAATCGTTTTGGCTCAAGTGGCTCAAGGGAGCCGTAGCCCCCCAGGGAGCCACGAAATATTCGTTCATCACCTTTTCAGTTAGCTCCTGTTGAAACAGATGTTCAGTATCTCCCTCGCACCCGTGATTTTTTCACAATCGCGCAACGTCTAGACCAGCAGCGCCGTCAAAGCCGACTCGCACGGCTGGCACTCCCGTCAAGGACATATTGTAGGGACGCATGCCGACGTCGGCAGTTTCGGCATCAGCACGGGCTGCCCAAACAGCAAAGATGGCCAGAAACATTTGTATTTGGGACACCCACGAAGAGCGCCCTCAAGCAGCCTCGGACTGGGAGCAAGCCCTCCGCAGGACCGCCCTACGGAAACATTTGTTGTTGCAGTTGGAGGTGCTGGCGCACTTCGGCGACAGTTTCAGCAACGACTTCAGGATGCCGGGAGCACCACACCACCAGGATCATACCAACCTCATGCGCGACTCACCGAAGCTGGTGGATATCAACACGAACATAAGAGCGAATGTAACGGCAGTGATGCACCGTTGACATTGTTCAATATTGGCACGCTCGTCGCAAGACGCTTACGACCATACAGCGGTATATATATGTATGTGGCAACAGTTGAGGAGCATATAATTCCACAACACGACCTCCAGACGACAGTGCAGCTTATCAAGGCTGGTGTGGATGAGCTACGTGCGGGTGGGGTCTCTGGAGCTGCCGCCGGAGCAGCCTTCCGCGAAACCCATTTTTGCAACGTCGACGAATGCGGCCATGACATCTAAGCTCGAGGATTTTGAACGCCAAGTTCGCCCGCTGGGTTCTTCATCCAGCTCGCAGTCCCAATACAAGAACGCAGACATTGACGTCAAAAGAACGATCGCAGCAGTCATCGGCAACATGAGCAACATCGATTCGTTCACAGATGCCAAAGAATGGATCGAACAACACGAAATCCATGGCCGGACCAACACCGTCATGCAGTTATCGCAAAGGCGATTCCACCAACGTCGCGCTCGTCGAGTTCGCAGACAAAACCGACAGATACGGCAGGAGCATGATTCAGAAGCGAATATTTCACAATCGATGGAAATATTGCCTGCTCGCCGCTGCATCTCTTCGTCGGGGGAAAATGGCGATTACCGGAAACTTTTCTGACCAGGGCTTGGAGCATTCATAGACAGAGTGGGGGGGTTCACGCAACAATGCCCATTTGAAAGACTTCAGACAGGCATGCGATTATCTCGCGGCCCGCTCGAAGTGCGGTCTGAAAGGGACCGCCGAAGGCAGGGGGAACAACCGACAAATGTGGATTCCGGCCGGCGCCGGAAACTTCCGGCACTGGAGACCGATATAAGACACTTGCTGGTCGGGAGTGCGATGCCGATGCGGGCGCAAGATCGGGCGAAGATTCCTGCGCGCCAAAAGCATCGGCTGTTTCATTAATTATTGTCTCGCTTTGGACTGCGCCTCCATCTACTGCGCCGCCGCCCACGTCGACTTCTTGCCACGCCAGCGGACAAAGCAGTGGATATGCAAATGTACATGTATCCCCTCGCCCTGAAGCTTCTGATCCCCCTGGCCTTTCTACCCCGCGCCCTCGGTTTTCAACGCGGCGGCGCCGGCGGCGCCGCTGCTTTTTCCGGGCAGGGGCAGCCGCGCATTCTATTGTTTAGCCGTCCGCCGCCCCGGCATCGCCCCGCGAGGACGTGGGGCGCGACGTCGCGGACATCCGCGCATATCGTCGACGACTGAATCCAGAAAACGCGCGCGGGCGTCGCTGGCGCAGTTGCAGACCGCCGGGCAAACAGTCCACTGGCGCTTGGGACGTTCAAGAGTTGGGGGGGCGGCGATGCTACCAATCGGCAGGGCTTCAACGTCGCGAGGAAAATGAACGCAGGGCATGCTGCAGCGTCATAAACACCGCGTGCAATATGGACATTTGGCGATGCTTTCCGGGGCGTTGGAGACTACATCTGGCCATCTTCATTCGGGCGCGAGGTTCGTGAACGCACCGAGTGCAAATCATTCGGCGACCAGCGTCGCGCTGCCTGGAGATCGACCGGCAACTCTTCGAATCAAAATAACGCGCGGGACATGGGACATCACGGGTGCGCGCGCGCCGCGCGCGGGAAAACGGCGCGAGGGGCGGGGCGTCTCATCCGACGGCGCGGCGAGCGCGTGGGCCCAGCGCGGCGGCCGCCATTGCGCGATCGCCCCGGGGGGCTTCAATTGCAGACTGGGGGAGAGGCTTCCCAGCGAAGAAGACGCAACGGATGAGCGCGCTCTGAAAGTGAAGCCCATCTCTAACAAGGGGCCTTCTGATCGAAACGCGCCGGGGAACGCGATTGATCAGCGCCAGCGCACGCTTCCCCCATTCTCGCGAGTCTTTGGTCGCATAGTGCGGCCCCGCTCTTGCGATGAGACCATTCAGCGACGCCGCGAGCCCTGCTTCTTCAGAGGCCATGCCCCCCCGCCCGCAGGCTGGGGGCATAGCGACGCGCCCGCGGCTGTTTCTCGATGCGATGCCTGGCCGTTGTCTCTGGGCGCGCGCGCCGACGCGCGGGCGCGGGCAATGCGCGCGGCAGCCAGAGTCGCAGATGCGCCCACGCGTTGCCGATCAAAACGTTGGATGCCCCTCGGCGCGAATTAGACGTTGACGCATCGGTGCGCCGCGCGGAAATCTGGAGACGCGGCGCGCCAGCAACGGCCGGGCGCGTCGATCGCGGAAGCCGCGCGGCGAGACAAACGAAAACGGCGGGGCGCGCAATTGCAGGGGGGGCCATGGGCAGCGCCAGGGGTCATTTCGATCGGCCCCTGGCAAAGCGCCGATTGCGACCAAAAACGCAGCCGGCGAACCGGTGGAGAGCGATCAGAGAGCAGATGAGTTGGCCGATTTTTTAAATATATACATATATATATATATACACATATATATATACATGTATATATATATATACATGTATACACATTAGGATGTTAGGTTTGCGCATCCACCTTAGGACGGACCGCCGGGAGTGCCTTTGCCCTTTGCCACGCTCGCTTTCACCGAGGGCGACTTCGACGCAGCTCTGGAGAATCTGGCGCTCAGAACGGCCGCAGACCACGATGGAATGGCACCTGCGTTATGGAGATTACTGCGGATGCCGAGCACAGCGTGCAACGACCGATGCAGGGACTGCCAGCAGTGCTGAGGGCGCAAAGACGTGCCAGAAGCGCGGCGGCTTGCAGCAATTGTGCAACCATCTACCATTTAAGAGTGGGGGGTCAAGTTTACCCGGAGATTTCCAGTCAAGTGCCCTTTTACATGTGGATGACGAAATTGTAGTCTGAATGATCGGAGATGAATGCAACGCGGCGGGGCAGAACAACGAACGCGATCAACGCAATCTGGATTCAGACCGGGACGCAGCACAACATATGAAGTTATTATTGCATGTTGCGTGGTGGGCGTTGCGGAATGTTCGATCGAAAACAGGTTGGTTGCTGTTTCATTCGCTTGGGCAAAAGCGTTCGGCAGGGCGAAGCGCGATTCGATGATCATGGTTTGATGCGTTTTTGTGTTCCCGAACCACTGGTTGCATTAACCGTTGCAATATAAGTGTGCCTGTGTATGTTTGTATATATATATATATGTACTTCGAAGTAGCAGTTTCCTGTTGAAAGACGCGGCAGGCGATTCCAGCATCTGGCAGCAGCGAGCAGGGGTAGCCCAGGGATTGCCACTTTTCCGCATTCGTTCTTGTTCAAACAGGGGTGTCTTCCGACGTCGGCAAGCTGCGCGATCGGCTAGACACGGGCACTGTGGAGTCAGAACCCGTCGCATGCATTGACGTGTCCTGC